ACGGTCATCTGTTAAAGGAGCAACTTCAAGAAAATTCAATTGTGTATTTTTATCAAATTCATTACTTTTAAGGAGATTATAAGAATGTTATTCTTTGCCAGATTTTTTTGAAAAATAAACTATTCCAATATTATTGGTGACTTACTTATTTTAGACGCTTTGACTGAAAGTAATGATAAAAGAATTTTGTGTAAATTTGATTGAGAAAATGAAAGAAATAATACCAAATTGTCTATGGAAATATTTTAGCATATACAATAACAATTCTTCTAATATTTTCATTAATACCACCAACACTTGAAATTGCAAAAAAACATACAAGATTGCTGGATTTATAAATAATATTAGTAGTAGTAATGGCAGTAATGGTAGTGGTAGTATGTAGTATTAGGAATTTAACAGAATATTTTAATAAAGATCTTATAAATTTTAATATACCGTATTGCGAAAAAAATGGTAATGTGAAAAAATTACGTTTAAACAAAACTAGATCCATTGAAAATATTTTCAAAAAAAGGTCTAATGTGCGAGATTCATTGTATGACGCTTTATTAATATTTAGACTTTTTCCTGATACCATTACTCAATCATAAATTGCTTCATCAATATCTTTTGGCGTTCTTTTTTTATGACCTGTCACATCTTCAATTGATGTCTGCTGATAATGATAAATGTTTTGCTGTTTTCTTTCAAGAAGATCAGGATGCTTCGAGTAACCATTTTTATATCCATTTCGTTCTTATATTAACCATGTATTATTGCAAAGGTTGTAGCAAAAGAGAAAATCATCTTTGAAACATGATTAATAAATAAACAGACTTGCGAACCAAATCTGTTACGTAACCAAGTGATTTGTTGTCCTGCATCAGAAAATAACTTTTCAGAAGGAACAGATGATTCTTTTTAGCTAAAATAGAAAGTATTGTAAATCTTTTTTTATCATCACACCACTCACTATTTCAATGGTTCATTTCTTCTATAGGATGCAGTTGAGAGATATTGTTGTATGCTTCAAATTCATCTAATTCGTTATATATTTTTTTAAAAAAAAACAAATAAGGATCTTTTAAATTTATAAATGTAAAGAAAGTTACCATTTCATAATAGAAGATCATTAAGCCCCACACCAACCAATCCTATATAAACAAACAAATTATTAATTAATTTTTTCTTATAAAAATATTAACTGGCAATATGTAAATTGACATATTATACTATAAATGAGTAACAGCATAATTAAACTAATGAATAGTTCTATTAAAAATAGGCCTAAGCAGTCCACAATATAAATATCCGCGTTTAATTTCTTCATATCTTTCATAGAACATACTTTTCAAGTAATCAATAAAATGTTTTATCATAATTTCCACTAATTTTACAGTTCTTGATATAGATTTCTAGTTATTCAAGATTACCTCTTCGAAATTTCTTACAAATAAAATAAACATTTGTGAAAAAAACCACAACAATTAACATGAATATTATTTGGCATCCAAGCCTTTTTGTTTCATTTACAAAATGATACGATATTATTTAGAATTTCAACCTCTTTAAAATGTTTGGATGCCAAGTATTTACTTAATTTCAGTAATTTAGTTTGCTGCTAAAAAAATTAATATATGTCTGCTCAGTTTGCTGAAAATAAAAAATCAAGAAGAATTTTTAGTTGTACGTTACTGCCACTTTAACAATCACGTTTCAAATCTTTTACTACTATTTCCAATTGATCTTTCAATCTTTTCATTTATTAACAATATTTCAGCCTTCTTAAAGAACAATTCTCCTTCATCATCTGACTTCTATTAAATTGTCAAAAAAGTTGTTTGTATTTTACCTAACCATCAATTCCTCATCAGCCGTTGTAACTTTATCTCAATGTAATGAAACAAAAGCTATATTACCTCATCTGAACATTCAGATTTGTAATAGAAAAGAAATGACAATTCAGTATGTTTCGATTTACTAATATGGGAGTAACTGACATGACCAGTTACAGAAGAAATCTTAGAAAAAAGAAATATGATGATTATAACTGATTATTGTAGGCTGCATTATTTCCCCATAACTTATCATTATCATTATTATCATTACAAGGACTAAGGAAAAATAGGACTGCTAAAGAAAAAAATTTTTAAATTGGGTTGGATAGTGCATATACTACTGTTACCAGAATTGGGATTTAACTCTGATTTGTTGGTCGAAATACCCTAATTCTGAATCAAATCTTTTGTTTCTATTTTTACTTTTTATTTTTATTCATTTATATTTTTAATATTTTATTTGTATTGCGTTTTTATTTTTATAACGTCGAAATTAGTGTCACGGTTAGAATGCTAGATCGCAATGAAGTTGTTACTAATTAATTTAATTGTATATAAGAAGCTCGAATTCGACATACTTGTAATAACTTTGTATTATTAGTTTTAATAACTTTGCAATAAAGTTTTAATAACTTGAAAATTAACTTAAAAATAAGTTAATAAATTAGTTTCGACTAAATAAAACGTTTTCTTAAATCACAACCAAAATTATTCGCTAATAAAACTAATTCGTTAATAATTGCCAATTCATTACATAAATTTATATTGTTAACATCAATTAATACGCTTTCCCAAACAATAATTGGTGACGCTACTATCAATTATATTATTTTCATTTACAATCGCAGGATATACGGTGGGTCAAGTGTCATTCACTAATACAAATATTTCTTCTCAATATCCGTTGAATATCCGTCAATAAACCGTGATAGTGATATCCGGATATTCATGGATATTCATGGATATTCATGGATATTCACGGATATTCACAGATATTCACGGATATTCACGGATACTATCCGACGGATATAACCACCAAAAAAAGCATTGTCATTTTCGGTCTAGTAATTCACTAAATAATATTGGAATAGTTTATTTTTCAAAAAAATCTGGCAAAGAATAACATTCTTATAATCTCCTTAAAAGTAATGAATTTGATAAAAATACACAATTGAATTTTCTTGAAGTTGCTCCTTTAACAGATGACCGTAAAAAATATTTATATAATAACATTTGTCAGCATGTAGATAATCCATATAAAGATATCCTTTGCACAAACCCTAATTTTGTATCATTATTTGTCATTATTATTATATATTAATTTTATGCAAATTAATTTTGTTACCCGATCACTCATTTTTTTACTAAACAAATATGGTTGATTTTCTCACCATTGTAATCCTTATATATATATATTATGCAAAAAAATTCGGAGAGGTCCCTAAACATATTAATATATTCCTGGAAATCCCCCCAATGTTATCGTTAATCTTTAATTCGGATTATCCGTTATTGTTAATGATTATAAAAACTTCAACTTCTTTACTCAAAATGAATTTACTCACGAATATATTTTTTTTTTTGGTGTTAGAAAATTTTAAAAATGTTTTCATTAAAAGAAATCATTTCAGCATTTGCAACAATATTATTTATAACAATAATTTCTTCATCATTAAAATATTATTACAATTATTTCACTCGTCCAAATCCTTATAAAGGGCCTTTTCCTTTACCATTATTAGGAAATTTACATCAACTCTTTTATCATCGTTTTAATACTCCATTATGGTTTAGCTCATTACACTTAAAATATGGTGATGTGTTTGAAATTTACAATGGATCTAAAAGACAATTGATCACTAACAATCTACAAATCATTGAACATGTCATGAAGCCAGTGAGAAATAGTAATTATTTGTCACGTGTTCCACCTAATGAAGGACTAGATGTATTGGGAAAAAGCAGTAAAGGAATTGTTATGAATAGAGACATAAACAAATGGGCTTATAATAGAAGAATATTCATTAGAGCTGTAATGGCTCCAAATGCATTAAAGTTTTCAGCTAATCTTGTAAATTGTGTTTTTAAAGACTTAGAAATTTATTGGGATTCTTTAATTGATGAAATGGGAGAATCTATTATAAATCAAGAAATTCATCAAAAAAAAGTATTGGAAATTGATCTTGTGCCTTGGATTACAAGAATTTTCACCGAAAATATAATGTTATTAGCAACAAACAGACCATCTAATACATTATTGAATTATTATAAAATCAGTAAAAAAGATTCCAACATAATTAAAACTGCTGAAGATGAATATTTAGATAGTGCAAAATATGTACTAATTTGTATAAGATATTATATGATGGTTCCTTCATATATACGCAATTTGCCATTGATAAAGATTTATTCAGATTATTTATTAAATAAATTTTCATCAAGAAAAGAATATATTTACAATTTAATCAAAGAACGTAGGGATGAAATTGAAAATATTAATGATAAAGAAAACCTGACACCTGATATGTTAAATATGTTATTAACTATTAATACTCCAAAAGATATTACTCAAGGCATTGCAAATGATTTTAATGATGAACCAATGACTGAAGAAGAAATTCATAATGTTTTTAGTGAAATATTTGGTGGGGGAATTCAGACTGTATGTATATTTATTTAGATTTGTATTTATTTATATATATATTAAATGTAATTAATTAAATTAATAACCAAAATTTCCATTGAAAAAAAGTCATCTGCAGCTTTATCATGTCTTATATATTATGCACTTAGTAATCCTGAAATTGAACAAAACATTCTTAAAGAAATTAAAGAAGTATTTGGAGATAAATCTAATTTAGATTATGAAGATTTAAAAAAATTTGAATACGTTGAAGCTGTAATAAAAGAAGGTATTAATTTATAATTGTGTTTTTATTATTGTTATTTATAAATTTTATTTTTAATTTATTTCACATGATAAATTTATCTATATTGTTAGTTTTACGTCTTAACCCTCTTGGAATAATAATTGATCGTGAGTCAGCAAATTTTGATCAAATAGGTGATTACAAAATTCCAGGTTCAACTCGACTAACAATAAATGTTCAAAGTTTACACATGAATCCAAATTATTGGAATGAGCCAACTAAATTTGATCCTTCAAGATTCTTAAATAAAAATCATGACAATGATAATGGAATAGATGATTCCTTTATTAAAAATACATTTTTACATTTTGGTGGTGGATTACGTATATGCCCAGGAAGACATCTGGCATTGAATCAAATTAAATTATTGGTTGCTTTATTATTCAAAAAATATAAATTTGAATTGGTAAGTGATAAACCTATGCGTCCACAACCTTTTGATGGTAGTAGATGTGTTGAATTGAAGGTTAAATTAACCCACAGAAATTAAATTTCAGTCATAACATTTATATTAGCAAACATTTATATTGAATATTAGATATATATATTATTTTATCCCCCCCTCCCCTCAATTATTAAAAAAAGTTTTAAATCATAAATGTGTGTGTGATGCTGACAATTATAATGCTTAACTTATATGTAATAAAATCAGTCAACACAAGGATCAACATATAGGATGAACCTTGAGACTGTTGATCCCTAGTACTAGGTTCTCTAACTACTAATTAAGTGCAAAATTCTGGTCCTTAACCACCAAACCATCCTGTTAAAATATTGAACTTCATCATTTGAGATTGTTGATTGATTATTTCATCAAATTTTTGATTTATGTCATAGAGTTGATTTTTTGTGAGTTAAAAAAAAATCAAGAGCCTAATAACAGCCTTCACAAAAAAATTCACCATTAAATTGTTAATGAAAATGTGGATATTTATTTTATTATTAACAATGATTATTGAAAGATTTGTAGGTTCTTTACCTGAACTCATGGTGCTCAAACATAATGGACTTGAATGTGTAACATTTATAATTTGTTTTAAACAATGTTTTTATTTTCATTGTGATAATCCTGTGCATCAATCAGTTAAGTAATAAGTGGAAGAAACAAAAATATCATGCTATATTTGTAGTAAAATTGTAGTGTCAAACAATTTTGATCTTTGTGACATAAATGTTCACTTTGTCTGGTTTTGTTGTGGCATGCCCCACATGATATTGATCCAGTGTATTTTTGAATGGAATGGATCACCCACAATATCACCTTGGCTATCCCTTAACACACAACTTCATCTCCATTTATCAATAAATTGTTATTTGATTTTTTATATTCCCATATACCTATAATAGCATCTACCATAATAATTATAGGAATAGATATTACTGCAGTTTTAGTTGTCAAACTACTATCATCATTATTAGCATTAGCATTAGCATTAGCATTCTCAGAAGCAATACCATTTGGTGTACTATTATGATTTAGGATTTGGATCTTGTGTAGTGGTTTGATTAAACATTTTGAGATGATTCTGATCATTAGTGCTGATCCATTTTTTTTTAACATAGTACAATGCAAAAGTAGATTAAATTCACCATATCATATTTTTTTAGTAAATAAATTTTTTTTTATATCCTTTACTTTGTATTTCATAAAAACCAATTTTCCTTGAAAAAAAAAATTTTTTATTTTTTTCTATATGCTCTTTACATTACCAAATCGTTTCAGGGTAAATTTCATAATATAAAAAAGTCCACCAAATCGTCCCACTATATACAGCAAGACAAAAATATTATAGAAATAGTCAAATAACTGATCTATAAACGTAAACATACATACATACATATTTATAAAAATGAACCAAATTCAAGTCTATTTTAAACATAACTGACAACTTTTAACTTCTTAATCTAATAGTTTTATTTTTTATTTTTAAATTAGAATCAAATTATAAATGCAATCTGTCAACATTATGAAATTATATCTGGTTTTTGGAGTGTTACTATTATAAAAAATAGAAGAGGATCAAGAGGATGGATGAAATTTATTCTAGTTTATCATGAAGCTGTATTTGTTCAAATATTTAACAAGTGTTGATAGGTGATATATATGTGTAGCAAAGAAAATTTTAAATGAATGTTTGGAGTCAGAAGAATGTATTAAATATTATTTATGAGAATAATAAAACTATTTTCTTACATATTGTATATGTACATGATCAGAAGGTAGAGGAGATGTAGAAGGAAATAAAAATTGTAGATGATAGAAGAAATGAGACAATATGCAATACAATAAGTTGAACGTTATGTTTAAATAGATTTAGGCAACAATAATAATTTATCCCTTAAATGTACAAGATTTGCGTGCTAATCGGCACGCAATTTTTGAAAAAATGTTGACCCCTACTAGACAAATAAATTATTAATTGACCCTATATTTTTTTGAGATTTTTTAATAGAAAAAAGGTATGGTTT